TATTGGGTTGTAACATAAGTTCGTAGAGTTTTGCGTTAGAGTTATTTTACAACGAGTTATTTTGTTTTTTAGCAAAGTGTATACATTCATTTGAAAGAGCTCTTTCTCCTCTACAAAACTGTTTTATTCGTTTTTAGGATAATTAAATTGTTCGTCTTTTTTCGGGCTCAGAAATGGAATATCCAGGAAGAAAAAATTAGCATTTTCGACATCTGCTTTTCTTTGCTTCTCGTCGAGGTCAAAAAAGCAGCCGAAACCGCTCGGGACATATGCAGTGTGTACGGGGAAGGTGTCTTAGGTGTGTCTACTGAAAGGTGTGGGTGGCCCCAGGGAAGGCGCCAAAGCCGAGAGTCAAGCAAGATCTTCACCCAAAAAATGGTCATGATCTGCGTTTGGTGGGACTGGGTAGGCATGGTGCACTGGGAAACTGCTCGAACGAAACGCCACTGTCAACAAGGAGGTCTACATTACCCAGCTGAACAGTGTAAATGAGGCTATTCGGCTGAAAAGACCTTATAGAGGTGGTCAAGTCATCTTGCTCCACGACAACACCAGGCCCCATATTGCTCAAGTCGTCAAAACAGCACTCCAAGAGCTTGAATGGGGGTTCTTCAGCATCCACCGCACTCTCCGGATCTTGCACCTGCCGACTATCACCTTTTCCGCTCTATGTTAAACCCAATGAGGGGTGTTACCTTCGATGGCGAAGGGGACCTTAAAAACTGGCTCAACAAATTCTTCGACACCACAACGGCCGATTTTCGGCGAATCGCCATCAACAAATTGGTCGAGAGGTGGGAACTGGTCGTGAGCAGTAACGGAGGATACATCTTTGGTTAATTTATTATTATAATTATTGTTTTTTGGTTCAGATAAATCTTCGTGAAAAAACTCTATGAACTTATGTTACAACCCAATATTTAGGGCTTATCAGGGTCAGAACAACCTTTATTTGTACTGAATTCTTTCTCACCGAGCCATTCCTACATCATGAACTCCACCGTCAGCTTCCTATTCTCTTATTATCCAAATTACAACAACCTTTGTAACTGACTGGAATCAGTTATATGGCCATCTACCTGCTATCAGAAACAGTTAGAATTTATACACGCGCTCCCAAACTGTTAGATGCATTATTTGCTTGCTTTTTGCCTCTGTATACGTAACGTTTGAGCCCTTAATATCGCTAACTAAATAATGGAGAGCATATCGGAACGACGCCTTCTCGGAAGCCCAGGGTTCCCATGACCGTTCCTGTTTTGGAATTCCAATGCCGAACCCCCATACGACAACTTTTCGTTGAGAAAATAGAAAGTGCATGTCCCTAAGACACTGCTCAGTATATAATATGATAACTGTGAGTTGCTTTGAGCTCGAGTGTGGCTCTTGATTTCTTGCTTCGAGGTGAACCATGTTTTGGCCTTACTAATTGTTTTGGCGAAGGATAATGTGTAGCTCGGAGTGGTTTACTTGTTGTTGAAGAATCAACTATTTCCCTTCATTCAGGAAATTTTAAAAGTTTTGAATGCAGATTGGTCGGGGCTGTTACTATGGACCACAATGAACACCATTTCACTAGTGTGTAAGGATGGGTTTAAAGCAGGTAACACCGCTCAGTTTAAAATAGTCCGTCATCCAGCTTTATCTAGGTTACTATAGAGCATTGTGATTGACTCTAGAGCGACAACATACTTTGTTACTGGCAGAGAGATCCTCATAAATTTGTAATTAGAGGGCGATGCTTCTAAATTCATTCTCTGATTACAACTGCGGAACGCTTACTATGAATGTGAGCTCACTGCTAACCTGCGCCTGTTCTTCGAAAGACGATTATTTTATCACGGCTGCTTTTCGCGCTGCCATATCAGACTCTGGCAGTAATACGTGTAGAAACCATTTCCAAAGCCTACTGATACGCCATAAGAAATGCAGAAACTCAGCAAATTCGATAAAACCAGTCGTAGAACTGGCTAGTACCCACATACTTACTCCCTTTGACATTATCGGAATGATGGCTGTCCACCCGTTTTTATTGCGGGCAACCTTAATCAACGCTTTCATTCCCTTTGTTCATTTTAATGATCATCGTATAAAAATGGAAATCAAGATCGGACGGACTTTTAAACTATACTACAGGACGATAAGGTGCCAGTAAACGCTCGATCACTGTGCCTTTGAATTTTCTTGCTGTTACTTCTCAATGGGTGAGCAAATGAAAGCTCTTGACTTAGCATAATTAAAGTTTTCAGAAAAATGTGAGAAAAAGAGGGATAATAAAGGTACAGTTTTCCGAGATTCCTCACTAGGAACCTGTGACCTCTGAAAGGCAGATTAGGGGAGGCGGTCGTTTGGCGCGATGGGCGGGGTCGCGCCGTCCACTTGAGGCCGTTCAACTCGTTCAGATTGGGTAATCTTCTGCTCTCCTCTCCTCTATAGATGATGGATTGGGCTTCTATCATCTATAGAGGAGAGGAGAGCGGAAGATTACGCGATCTGAATGAGTTGAAGGGGCGATGGGCGGAGTCGCGCCGCCTTAAATGGGCGGCGCGACCCCGCCTATCGCGCCAAACGACATACACCCCTATAACTTCCATCAACCGTCACAGGCTAGATGTCCCTATGTCATGATGAACCGTGCCTTGAGTGGGCCGATAATAAAGTCACAAATTTCGCAGAAAGCGAACGTTCCTCACAAACCTATCGTACAGATCCACGATATGAACTGTTTTTGTGAATAGACACTGTTATGCTGTTGTCGGAAGTTCGAAGAGTGTTTGGATTCTTTTACGCTTGTATCAGGTTCAGCATCATGTGCCGCTGAAGTAGTAGAGCTCTTCGTGAGTTCGCTGATGATTTCGTTTTGTTTTTCTTCTTCAGGTTGAGTAGTAGTTCCTCCTTCGACCAGGAATGTCGTCTTTCCATCAGTTGCGCGTTTTAAGTATAACTTCCAAAAAGATGAAACATCTGTTTCTTTCCGAGTAGAGACATAAACATCGCCATGAATTTTTCGAATTCCCTCCAATCCTTTTAGAACAAAGTTTTCGTTGGCAGCCACTTTCAAGCTAGGTTCTGAAATAATCATCATAAAACACTTACGCTACTTTTACGTGACTCTTGCACTAAGCAAACGTAGCTCACGTTCAGCCCTCGAATTGCTGATATTTTCAAGCATTCCTAAGAATGACAGATCCTTTATAGCCGTGTTTCCCTCTACAATTAGGCTTCCTTGTATGATGACGATTTTTTTCAATTTTTCAAATCCTTTTGGGATTTCTAAACTATGCGTTTAGTATGAACAACCTCTCCTTTTCCTGTTGGCCACTAACTTTTCCTACTTGAATCAAATCTTTCCCCCGCACTTGTCGAAGTTCCAAATCATAAAAATGGCATGGGCAAATACTGACCTTCCAATCCACGAAGAATGAGATCGCCAACAATAACGAAACAGAAATCACTCAACTTCGCGAGATACTGCTCATTGACTTCTCCACCTTTACACTCGTTATCTTGAAAAACATGAATATCATACTTAGGCTTCATCCTTTATCAATTAGCCTCGTCCGGCTAACGTTTGCGCGTATGAGTACTGAACAAATATTCTAAAATGTACAGTTATAATTCAGAACAATTTCACACATTTCAAGGGCGATGTATGGTTGTAGGAGCTGATTGAACAGAAAGGTCCCATAGATTCTATGAACGAGGGATTTGATTGAAGAAGTAGGCTAGAGTTTCAAATTCATCGACTCGATTTAACACCTTTTCTATGATTGGGATGCAGTGTTCATTCCTCGGGCAAAAACCTCCTTGGGTAATTGTAGTCTGAATTTTGCTGTCACCGTGTAGCATCACGGTGACAGCAAAATTCAGACTTTGTTCCAGTTCTGGATCTGAAGGTCTTGGAGCGTTATTCAATCCCGTCCGAGGGATGCGCAGAGGCATTAGACTGCCATTCAGAATCGTAGCGGCGTAATGAATGGCTTCTACAATGACCTGCGCTAACCGGCCGATGTAAAAGTCAGTACTTTTATCCTCCAAGGCGAGTCTGGTACCCGTTAATCTACCTCGGAGAGATGGAAGACTGGGGTGGCCTAAGTGGACATCGATAAGGGATTAAAATCCGTGACCTGTATATGTGAAGTGAAGCGCGCCACTTGCCACTACACCACCTCCGCCTTAGTTTCGGTCATTACCATAGGCATAATAGCAGTTTGACGATTTCGGACAAAAAAGATCTTGTATGCTTTCTCGGCAGCTACGAACGAAACCATAACAATGGATTCTCGCCGCTGCCGTGTAGTTCCCAGCCATCAAGATTTGGTCTAGTTGTAGGAGCAGCATGCTCCATTTAGAGGTCCAGTTGACAACAATTTTGGGTAATCCAGATTATGACGAAAAATGGAAGATGGGAAATAGTGCGATGAAGGCGAGGAAACTGCGCGAGTCGCTGTTCCAAATTGGAAAAGGCTTTGAAAAATCGTTAAAAATGTGGCTGGAAGAGTGAGACCAGAAAAATGAAGAAGAATGGGGCGCCTGGGCGAGCTATACAGCGTGTGTCATTGCGTACGTGTGGGTCCTGGTGCGAGTAGCTGACTACAGTGAACAGAACTCATTCACTCATAAGCATAAGTTAACAACAAAAACCTAGTGACAGCAAAAATAGTCCACCTTTTTCAGGTTCTTGTAGTATTAAATAAAATAAGGGACGGCAGCAACAAAAAGAATAACAGGGAATAAAGGGATAGCAGAAAAAGATTGCTTTATTACTCGGCGATCAGCTGATTGTGTGTGGGTTCTAGAACGAATATTGCCATCTGTATCGCCCCAGCACTCGTCTGACGTGACATCAATCGATGGTTGGGAAGTCTGGGCGATCTCGCGATGGGGCTCCTACTATGCCCTAGCTGTTGAATTTTGAGACTCGACAGCGTCCTTCCTGTTATCCTTGAGGGCCACTGGGTATCCCTGGGGGGAGTATAAGAGACCATTTTTATCGTGAACTGTGCCTTTAAAGTATGCCTGTGAGAAAAGAGAAACCTCTCATGAATATAAAAATCAGCATGCTCCCGTAAACTCTGTTATGAGCTAGACTGAACCAAACCAATAGTATCAGGACACGAACCTCTTCAATAATTAAATCGCAACCTCATCGTCCCCCACTTCTTCAACCTCTTTTTTTTAGGTCTATATCTCGGTTCAGAAGTTTCTATCAATTATAATAATAAACAAGAAGCTTTTCAAAAGGATTAATTACACTTATGAAAGCTTGTTTAATGACGAGGCAAAAATCAAAACGTTCGAAATTAGATATACATACAAAGAAACTAGATATACGGTTTATGATTTATTATCGGAAATTAAAGAAAATAAGAGGAAGGCAAAAAGAAACACGAACAGTATGAGCTAATGATTTCTTTAAAAATGCAGGCTCTTACTTGTAAACAATACTCGACCCTGGGTTATTTCTTTGAGACGCTTCCTGGTCTCATGCGGTACGTCTGATTCCTTCGTGGTGTGAATGAGCACATCGCCACGAATTCTCTTCAGCGCATTTAACCCTTCAGCTTTGAAGTTCATGTTTCCACCCACCATTATAGCCGCGTTGTCTGAAAATCTTACATAGTTGTCTATGACAAGATCTTGGGCTTACTTATCGGTAGAAAACTTTCTAGCGCCAAATGATGGTGTCATTTTATATTGCAATTTATCCAGTGAGAAACCAAGCCGGCTTTCCTCTCCTCCCAGACAGAGGAAGAGTGCGACCTAGACAAGTTACAGCATATTCGAATTTACCTAAAGTGTTGACCATGAACTGCTTGATCTGCCTACAAAAATGAAAGCCGGTAGGGACTAGGCCGATGGAATGAGGGTGGGTATTCTGGTCAAGTTTTTGTTGTCTGCACTAAGTGGTGGGTACGGTGGCACGACCTACAGTTTCTTCTTTGTTGGCAGTGTTGATTCCGGAGGTAGCGAAAAAAAACACTAATCGTGTGACACCTTTTGCAGAAGACGATACTCGAAGACGATATCCTGTCAATGACTGCGACATGATTTATGACAGAAATGACCGGGGACCTAATTGAACATTACTGGTTGCTGGTTGTTATGGAATGCTGCGATGGTCGGTGAACGGAAAAGTTTTTATAGAAAATGACGATATATGCAAGTCTGTGCCTCAAAACTTTCGCATCAATCCAGCAGTGAACAGCATCAGTCGCAACATTTTTTGTGGAAAGAGCTATTCCTCAGTAGATACATCGTCATACTGATCTGAATCGTCATAGCTGTATTCAAATTGGAACCTTAGCTATGTCATAAGAAAAAGCAGAAAAATTGGTGATGAGCGCTGGACCGATGACGTTGTTCTTAAAAATATACCAACCAATATTTTACATAGGAACACATGTTCGACCTTCTCTCCCATTCAATACAGTAATATGATATTTACCGAGCATTTCTGCATTTACTAAGATGCTTACATTCGTTATCAGTCGCTTCAATTTCCTCCAAATTTGGCAAAAAAGAGAAATCAGTAACTCCGTAGTTTGTGCCAATATAAAGAATTCCACTGATTTTCACAATCTGGGCAAGCTTTCCTATGTTTTGCGGCAAACCTGAAATGTTTCATCTGGTTTATGCATAGACTTTATTTTGAGCACTGTGTTGGTTTTGAAGCCATTCAAAAGCGCACTGGGCTGTTCTCACCTCTTGAAATATCGATATTAATCAACATTTACTTAAATTTTTTATGCTTTTGTAAGGAAAAGATTCTGCAAAAAATTAAGGTAGGCATTATATACAGGGTGTCCCAAAATTATTGGCGCCGATTGATGCAATATATTTGGAATTTCCCAGCTGCAAAAGGCGATGGAATTTCTATGCACACTAGCTAACACCATTTGCTACAACGCGCTACGATCACATTTCAAAACAGCCCCCATTAGTGCGGAAGAGGCCCAAAGTTTGCTCTCGACCTGATCGCCTGTGGCACGCAGGCATCTTTCTCCATTTCTTCCCCGGCCGTACTTCAGCCTTGCTTTCTAGGACTCCAAACAAGGACTGCAACTCGACAGGCCCTCTTCTAATCATGGACCACACGGAGGAATCAAGTGAGTCAAGTTCTGGAAGAGAGGATGACCATTTCTCTTCACCAATGAAGTCGTTCAGCTGTCGTCGCTAACACTCGCGGGCAAGCTTCGCTCTGTGGGCTGGAGTAGCGTCCAGCTGGAGGGACTACGAGATGTTTCAGGAAACGTGGTCATTACTTAGAGCTTCAATACTTCCATCAGTACGCTGTTTGAGTACTGGTCTTGGTCAATTTCACGTCTGCACCACCCCAAGTAACCAAGAGCGGCTTACTCTTGCCAGTGATTTCCTTAAGAAACAATGTTTCACTCCAAGGAATTTCATAACGCCCTTCCATCTCTCGCGTGTCAACGATTGCAAGTGGCATTGAATGAGCCTCCTACATTTGAATGATATTGGGGATTCTATCCGCTTTGACGGTGGAACCTGGTGAGCATTTCATGAAGTGGGTAGTTTTCCGACTAGTTTCTGTCGCTTTTTGCTTGAGAGTCAAACGTTATCGGATATTGTGAAACATCTCGAGTTGCGTTCAGGCCTCTGAAGGGGGATATCACGCAAGCCATTTTTATCGTAAATTTGCCTTTAATAATGTAAAAGAGTTTGGCTTCGACGAACCATCATACCATATGGCTCATCAAGCAGTTCAAAAGGGGACCGTGTCATTAACGCAGTGAGAAACGTCTTTGCTGCTCCCAATCACCAGAAGCGATCACCGAGTCCGAATGACTGCCTGCATCAAGGGTCCACCTTACATATTGCAAGACCTAACAGGTGATAGAAAACCACGTTTCCTCATCAATAGTGATATGAAGAAGCGTGAAATACTCAAAGGGACCTTTCTAGGTTTCTATGGCTTCGAACCTACCTACTATCGCCTACTTGCAAGTTTTCCGGTTCACGCATGTTGCGCGGGGTCTTGCCACCACTTATGTGGATAATGTTCTCATCGGTGCGAACAGCACTGAAGGGTGAGTTGAGGACCAAAGTACTGCAAGCAGATTTTTCATCGTATGGCACAAGCCTCCCAGAGTTTATGCTGAACAATCCACCTGTAATCGAGCAAATTTCAGTGCGTGATCGGATGAACGTAGTGGTTAGATTCTGGAGGTTGAGTGGAATTCAAATCGGGATACTATCGATAATCGGTATATTCGAGAATACATGGTGCCTTATTCGATTACCTCAAAATGACCTATATTTGCGTCCAGTCCTCAAAGCTGTTGAGTCCAGTTTCGATCCACTCGATTCTTCATTGTTGTTCTGGCTGATATCTTATCCAGGACTCTTTGAAAGGCGACTATTGGCGACTTTGGGTAACTTTACTTTTCGTGAGAGGCACTTGCCTATACGACAGGGAATTGTGAACAGCATGGGAAGTTGAATTCGCTCTCTACCTGGGGTAACTGCTTGTCGCGAGAGAGAAGCTGCACATGAAGTTTCGCTGTTTGCGCACGCTTCCGGAGGAATGTATCTGGTAGGTCCAGTCCAGCAGGCGCCACCAAAGAGCTCTTTTCGAGATAAATCTATGGTCACTTCTGACCAAGTGAACCAATTTATGTGTGACATTGTCCATCGATATGACAGGGGTACGCTTAACGATAAATTCCAAGATTCTACCTGGCAAGACTACGAGCTATGAGTTCCTTCACTTTCAAACAAACAGGGTCATCGTTTAGAGTAATCAATAAGCTATTATGTCAAGCGGTTCTTCAAGTTTCTCAAGAAGCGTATTCACAAAGGGTAGCTGTGTTTTCGGCTCGCTCGGATCTTGCTTTCAAGTCTGCAGGAATTACAGATACGTATAGGATTAAAGGTCAGGACATCGAGAAGGTCGAGCTTCAACTCTTTTGAGAACATCAGCGAAAGAGTCAGCGTATGGAGAGGTGGAGGTGGTGGACGGCAGCTGACGATTCTACCAAAGAACTTCAGCATGTCAAGCAGAGAACACGTTCAACGTCATTGACGCTTCCTACTACTTACCAGGGAAGGATCCCAACTCGAAGTGGCTATTTGAAATAGGACCTATACTGCTAGACGCGTTTTTAAGCGCTGAATCCAAATCCGCTTTCTGAATCTGCCAAGCGATTCTCTGAACGGAGTTATGAGGGTGGTTTTAGGTGACATTACATGAGAAAACGTAAATTACATGGAAGCAGCTCACTCCTCAACGG